ACCGGGGATGGAGGGGAAAAAAAGAGGACCTAATGCCGGGAGCTTAAGTGGAAAGGAAATGTTTTGAGAATGATGAGGGAAATGAATGTACAAATGCGCTTTACACAATTGATGTGTGTATGGATTGTGATAAGAGTTGTATGAGCCCCTAATAAAATGATTTTTTTTAAAAAAAGACTATTCTGGATGTAAATTTTACAAAGAATCATAATTTAAAAAATTAAATCACACACACAAAAAGAGGAGCCCTGGTGGCACCATGGGATAAGTGCTGGTTGAGCCACTAACTTTAAGGTCAATAGCTCAAAGCCAAAGCCTTTTTGAAGGAAAAATGAGGTTTTCTGAACCCATAAAGATTTATCGTTTCAAGCAACAAAGTCCACATGGAAGCACACCCAGTCTGTGTGAGCATGAGGTGTTGACGGGATCATCAAAGACCCAGAAAAAAACCGCCTATCAATGTGAATGAGGGAGAGCACGGAGTGGAGACACAAAGCCCACCTGTAGGCAATTGGACATTCCCTTACAGAAGCATCACAAAAAAGAGATGAGCCAAACAGGGTGCAGTATAGCACCGATAAAACATACAACTTTCTTCTAGTTCTTGAATGCTTCCTCCCCCCCACTATCATGACCCCAATTCTACCTTACAAATCTGGCTGGCATGTACACTGCTACACATAAGAACTTGCAACACAAGAAATCCAGGACAGATAAACCCTTCAGGACCAAAAATGAGAATAGAGATACCAAGAGGGAAGGGGAAGGTGGGGAAAGAAAGGGGGAACCAATCACATATGATCTACATATAACCCCCCCCCCCCCCGAGAGACAAACGACAGAAAAGTGGGTGAAGGGAGACATCGGCCAGTATAAGACACAAAAAAAATAAAAATTATTTATAAATTATCAAGGGTTCATGAGGGAGGGAGCATGGGGAAGGAAGGGCGAATGAGGAGCCGATACCAAGAACACAAGTAGAAAGAAAAAGTTTTAAAATGATGATGGCAACAAATGTACAAAGGTATTTGACACAATGGATGTACGTACAGATAGTGATAAGAGCTGTATGGGCCCCCAATAAAATAATTTAAAAAATTAATAGTTTCAGAAACCTCAATATGAGTTGGAATTGACTAGATAACACAGAACTGACAAGCTAATCTAAAAGTGAGAGACTATTGTGCCGTTTAGAGACAATTTGTGGTGAGATGTTACCTGAACACTCAAATAGAAGTACCCTCAATGCAGCTACAGGTGGACAATTAAGATCTGTGAGAAAAGTTACGATTCATGATTTAAGGTTTTCTTTCTGGTTTTAACAAGTCAGCGTAACAGAAGGTTTAAGGGGCACATCATTTGAACCCATACATTTCTCCAATGAAAATTACAGAAATTGTTTACATTTACCTCTTACCATTTATGCTTTTATCCACTTTGTAGACAAATACAAGGGGGTAGCCCCCCCAAAAAACAGAAAAAAAAGCTCTGCTGGGCAGAGCTTTCATAGTACAATTTTTTTCCCGCTAGGCAAGCAAGAATGGAATCACAGATTTGACAAATGTACTAAGTGTAATGGAGAGTATTTTGAAGGTGATAAGGTTGTTTTGTAAAAATATTTAAATACATAGCTTTGAGGGGGAAATTCCAGTTTATTTGGGGGGGGGTATCCCACATATATATCCAAACTCATTTTCTTCTAAGTCTTCTAATCTCAACATTCTGTGTGGTATCACTAAGGGTACACACTGACTTGATGTGATTGAAACATATTAATCCCAGTAAATTAGTTTCATTCACGAAAGCATTACTTTTTAAAATTAATTAATCGTTTTATTGGGAACTCTTACAGATAACATAGCATTCCATAGTTCAATCACATCAAGCAGTAAAGTTCAATTGCTACTACAATCGGTTTAAAACCATTTTCTTTCTTCTTGAACTCCTTGCTAACAGCTCCCCTTCATCGCCTCCCTCCCCCACCCTATCCCCCAGGAACCCTTATTACTATTTCCCCTATAATAGTTTGAAAGCATTACTTTTGTAATGACAAATAATGCAGCAGTGTTACACTAACCAACCCAAGCTACCCTTACGATATCGAAACCAATTATCCCAAATGTTGTATATTGTTTATACATTGTATATATACAGTATCATTGTTTCACTTATGTTAATAGTGTCTAATTATGTTGTTTTTAAGGAAAATGCGCAGTTTCATTCACGTGTTGATTTGACACATCCATAGAGATAAAAAATTCAAACTCACTGCCATCGAGTCAATGCTGACTATAATGATCCCCTGTGAGTTGGAGCTGTAACTGTTACAGTAGAAAACCCAGTCTTGCTCCTGAGAAGCTGCTGGTGGTTTCGAACTGCTGACCATGCGGATCACAGGCCAAGAGATAACCACAGCACCGCGAGGGCTCCGAGTGTTAGGGATCTGAGCTTCAATCCCCCTGTGCTATCTCTGCGGCAGGTCCTGTGCTGCTGCACTTACATTCTAATCCACTCTCTTCCAGCTCAAACTCTTGGTCCCACCTTTCAGTCCAATCCAGGTTCCTCTTCCAATCCCAATCCTCAGGATGACAACACCACTTCTGAGAAATGCAACTGCCTCTCTCATCTCCTCAGATCATGAATCTTAACTTTTCTCACATTCTTTTTCTTTTCTCCCCCTCACAATTCTTAATTGCACATCTGTAGCTGAATTGAGGGTACTTCCATTTGAATATTCAGGTAACATTTCACTACAAATTGTCTCAAACAGGCATGTTCTCTGACACTAGGTTATCCAGTAAGAGTACCACCATTTTCTTGGTGAACCTTAAAATGTTCCCCTTAAAAAACTCGGTCAGTTTTAAAAGCTGTAAGAGCCCCAATAAAATTATCTTTATAAAAACCCTAAAAACAACCTTGGTTAGTTAGTTCAACATCTTGTCTCTTCATTATTTCTAGCATTACTTAGACAGCTGTTCTTTTCCATTTCTGCTACGACAACTTTGTGACAACACTGTGTCACTTCACCCCAGTCTTCTAACTGGTTTCCCCACCTCATGCTTCTTTTCTATTCAATCAATACTACCAAAGGGTAAGTCAGAAAAAAATGCTACAAAACCATAGAAAACATTATTAAATAAAAGTATCAAAATGTGAAGCTATTGTGTCTTAACATATACCCATCTAGGTCTACACATTTCAGAAGGTGGTATTTTAATCTCTTCCCCATTTTTCCCCCCCATTATCTTTGATCACCCTTGGATCTCTAGCTGAACTAGCTAACACTTTTGGGACCCATTAAGACAAAAGCTTGTTGAGGTCAAGATGTCCCCACAAAATGGAAAATGGCAAACTGTGTGAGATTCGAATGTTCGCAGCTATCACATGGATGATAATTCTACCATCTTCTCCCACTAGTTTCTAGATTTCAACCAGTTTCTTCGGTCATCAGGGATGAGGTCTTCCCTCTTGGATAATCTTTGAGGGCTTCCTGACCTTCTTTAGAATACCTGATCCATTTAAACACGGTTGTTTTATGTAGAGTAGTATTCCAATAAACTTGCTGCAAAGCTTCAATGATTCGAGAAGACACTTGAGTTTTGCAAAAAAACTTAACAGCTCTGCCTTCAAAATCCCTTTTCCACAGCACTTTTTTTTTAAGTACCCCAATGAAACTAAGGCAAGTGTATTACGGAGAGAACTTGTCTGAAGCCATCCAATTATTGCAGAGACAAGTTAAACACATTGTTTTGAACAAACCCATGTATGAACTGGAACTGGAGAAGCAAGACTATCCTCATACTATGCTTCCAGAAAAATTTTCCAAAGCAAATGTGTTTCCTGACAAGAGATTTCAACTCAACTGTCAAAAACATATAGAACAAAGAGGATTCATGAATGCTAGTCAGCACATGAGAAGACGCTGGAAACCATTAGTCATCAGGGAAAAGCAATTGAAAACTCAATGGCCTATTATTTCACTCCAACTAAACCAAAACCTATTGCCACAGAGGCAAACGCAGGTGTGTAAAGTAGAACTGAGTTCCATGGGTCTTTCAAAAGTCATGACCTTTCAGAAGCCCACTTCCTTTTGAGATGCCTCAGAGCTGGACTATTCATACCTGCCAGGAACCATCTTAATGCATCATTCTTTTTTTTTTTTTTTTTGCATCATTCATTTTTCCATCTTCTTTTTTCACTGCCTAGTTTTTGCTTAGCTATAGGGAGACTGAATAGATCATGGCTTAGGTCAGGCACACCTTAGCCATCCAAGTGATATTTTTGCTTTTTAGAAAATCTGATAGCCTATTACAGCAGAAAGGAGCCCTGGTAGCATAGCAGGTGACATGTTGGGCTGTTAACTGCAGGTTGGAGGTTCAAGCCCATCAGCACTCTATAGGAGAAAAGATGAGGCTACTTTTGCTGGTAAATATTTAGTCTCATAGACCCTACAAAGGTCATTGTGTGTCAGAATCAACTTAATGGCAGTGGAAGTGGGATTGGCAGCAGACTTGCCCAATACTGTATGTCATTTGATTTCTTGACTGTTGCTTCCATAGACATGGTTCATTCTAGTAGAATCAAAGTGGTGGTACATTTTTCCCCCTTCCTTTTTTATGATGCTGTGTATCGGTCTATTAGTGAGGATTTTCCTTTTCTTCTTGTTCAGGTACAATCCATCCTGAAGGTTGTAGTCTTTGACCCTCATCAATAATTGCTTTAAGTTTCATTTTTGGCAAACTAAATTGCATCACCTACATATCTCAGTTGTTAATAATGAGTCTTTCTCCAGTCCCGACACCATGTCCTTCATATAGTCTAGCTTCATGGATGATGTGTTCAGCAAACAGAATGGATAAGTCAAGTCAGAGAACACAACCTTGCTGCACGCAGTTTCCAAATTTAATCCACACAGCAGCCCTCATTCTGTTCAAACTGATGTCTCTCGATTCATGTGCGGAGTCACGTGAGTGCAATCCAGTGTTCTAGAAATCGAGCTCCTCATAATGTAGATGAAAACTTTAAAACTTTCCCTTAGTTTTATGCTCCAGCCTCATTATCATTTTTCTTTTTTGAGGGCAGAACATTTATGATGTGTACTCTACAGTGCCTAGTACCTAGATGGTGCTCAGCAAAGTTATTTGGACTCTTATCAACAATCAGAAGGATGGATGGACGAAGTAAAACTGTAGCTGACTTTATGGGTCCCTTTGTCGAAAAAAGGGAAGCCATCATTCAGATGAACAGATGATTTTATTCCATTCAGATCCTTCAAATAATCTTTTTTTAAAAAATCATTTTTATTGAGGGCTCTTACAGCTCTTATCACAATCCAAACATACATCCTTTGTGTCAAGCACATTTGTAAAGACGTAGCCATCATCATTTTCAAAACATTTTCTTCCTACTTAGCCTCATTATCTCTATTAAACATAACTCAAATCCTCTTTCCCTCATCTCGGCATCCCTCCATGATCTTTTCATGTACTTCCAGGTATCCTTCCACCCTCCTTTCTTTTTCTCCCATTTAATAAATCTAATTGCACTATTGTTTCCCTAAATTTTATTTACTTTCTTATTGTTGATAACTGAACTTTTTGAAATTTAAAGACCAGTCAATGAATGGAGACCCTGTTGAACTGGTATACATTCCACTACGTGTGAAGGGGCTTCAGAAAGTTTGCGCAAAAATGGAATTAAAAGATAATGGAAATTTTCTACAAACTTTTTGATCCTCATATATTCTCAACTATCATGATCCGAATTCTTGCAAGTCTGGCTGGACCAGAGGATGTACACTGGTACAGATAGGAACTG